TGAAAATACAATCTAAATGTACTCTGTGTCAGTTTGAAGCCATTGCCCCTTGTCCTGTCATTCCAGGCTCTTGTAAATAATCTCCATTTTTCTTGTAGCTCCTGTCATGTGGTGGAAGGCTGCAAGTTACCCTAAGCCATCTCTGTTTGAGGCTGAACAATCCCAATTCTCATAGCCTTTCCCCACAGGAGAAGTGTTCCGTGCTTCTAATCAGCTTGGTGCCCCTAGTGCATTTTCATTATGTAGTACATAATTGAAATGTGAACTGTGTAGTGAGGCCATAGATCCTGTTTTCTCTTCCTAATGGTTGGATCATCTCATTCATTCCTGAACATAGAACTTTATCTGTGCTTGGAAATGGAAAAGGGTTGTTTTATCTTCTGAGTTTTTAAGTGGTTGTGCTGCAAATACAAATATTTGGATGTTGCCATGAATAAAGCTGCAGTTTACATGTGCTTCTTCAGAAGCTGCAGAGAGGAGAAAATAAACAGATCAAAAGGTGGCTACTTCCCCCCCCCCCCCCAATTTATCTTCACTGTAATTCAGTATTAGTCAGTTTATGAGATTTGCCTTGCTAAAAAAAAACATTTGTGTAATTTAGCTTTTTGCTTTGATTGTAGGAAGTTATCAGAGTTTACAGTACTGTTGTGGAACTAATTTGGGTACAGTATCTCCCTAAGATGATAGTAGTGCAGATCCTTTTCTGCTTCACTGGTGCTGGCACAGCTACTGAATATGCTATTGTGTGAGGTTATAAACCAGATAATCTTAATTGGGCATTTCCTGAGAGCAAGAGAGGGATGGCTGGAAAAGGAGAGACTTGGAAATAAGGGCATGCATTCCTAATACACAAATTTGGCTTCCACCCAGGAAAATGGGAGAATTTCCTGTTAGTTAAAATCTTCCAAGAGCTGAAAGCCTGAAGATACAGTGCCTACATACCTCAGGGAGCCAGAGGAAAGGGAAAGGCTGGGAATAGCTTGTGCATGAAAGCCCCAGGGAGCAGCCTGCTGCATGATGTGGTGGGACTGAGGGGTGTGAACAGCTGGATCCAGGGCAGCCATACCATCTCCTTTGTGTGCCCAAGGACTTGGGGCACCCTGCAGCAGCTGTACCAGCACAGGCTGGTGTCAGAGATCAGGTCCTGGGGGCTTTTTAGAATTGAGTCAAATGCTGTTCAGGCTTCATGGAGAATCTGTGTGTGACGTGTGTGCACATACATTTAGCACTGCAGATAGTACTGGAGCCTTGACTCACTGAACTGGAGGATCTCTGCTAGAGAAAAGATATGGAATCAGTCATGTAAATTTGAGGATAGGATAGCAAACAGAAGTGGGTACGGGCAAACCTGAAAGAATGCAGGTGGATTTCTTAGCACCTGGTTCTGTTGGAATGATCTGCTTTGTGTGTCTATTTGAAAAGAGAGGCTGCTTATTAAACTGAATTACAGTGAGTTATAATTCAGAAGTTGAACCTCTGCTCAGGCAAGGTTGGAAAAAACAGGGAATCAGGAAAGAGCTGCATTGAAAGATATGGCAGCTTTTTTATGTTAGAACGGGTAGTTGTGATCTGAAACTTCCCTCACTGGCCTGATTTCATGAGTGCACATTGGTGTGGGTGCTTCAGAAACTTGTGAATACTTGTCAGCTGCCTTCTTCATTTCTTATCTTTGTTTTAGCATAGGGTGAGCTCTTTTGGGTATTTTTGGTTATAGCCTGTGATTGAATTGTTGTTATAATTGTTTTATATATCTATGTGGTTTTAGACATTTGAGGGTCTGTATGCTACAGTCACTTCAACTCAAGTTAGCCCAAGCTTCTTCATGTAAACAGAATGAGCATTAAAAGGAGTAAGGAGGGTGACTTGCTTCATATGTAGAAGTCTGTTTGTACTATTAAATATTTCTTACCATACAGAAGAGACTTAGTTGCTTAGCAGTTGCACTAGAAATTGATCTCTAAGCTTCAGTCATGGGTAATAGTAACATAAGTTTTCTGTATGCCACAGTAACCAGAGGTAAAGGAATAATTATTCAAAACAAATAAAATTTAGCTATTTTGACTTTGCAAAGTAGTACAGATGCATTAAATAAAGTCAAATCAGGAATTTAGTAATACAAGCTCTCTGAATGTGGTTGCAATTGTTTCATAAGTGTCTTAAGTGAAAAGAAAAGCAAAAAGTAAATTGAATCTCTTCCTGTGATAGTGAATGAGAAGAGGGTTTGACAGTGCCTGCTCTGCCACTTGTAATGAAAAGAAATAGAATTACTTGTGTTAATACAGTTTCATGGGTAATAACATATTGTCATTATAACAGTGAAGGAGACTAATGACAAGTTAAAGATCCAGTTGCAAAAAAGGTCAGTGCATATAGTAAAGATGATGGATGCAGTTACATCAGATCTGTGAGGATGAGGGCAGATGGTGAATTTGTGGAAGAGAAGGCTACCAGTCAGAGATTTTAGCTGCCTTATGCAGTTTCACAATTGTTTCTGAAGATCTGTTAGTCTATTAGCAAGTATTAAAAGAACATGTTGATCAGGTGGAAATAATGTCAGTTATACTACTCCTAGAAAGGGAATGTGTCCGTTATTTAGCTTCTGCATAATTTCAAGTAAGTCAATTAGAAATTAGTGGCAACTTGTCCACATTTAGCTGAAGAAACAGTAATGTCTAAATCAAACAAAGGCCCTAAAGCTCCATTTAAGGTGTTCAGGAGAACTGTTATTTTTCTTCTTAATTACTGTCACTTCTAACAATGGTGCTTATGGATTCTCCATATTGTTCTTTTAACTACCAGTTAGAAATTCTAGAGCTGAGTACCTTAAACTCTTGGCCTTAAAAAAAGTATACTTAGATACTGAAGTAATCTCTTGATGAGAAAGGAACATCTCTGGGTGCAGGTCTGATCTGTTAAATGTATATGTCCATGGGAAGGGGGCCTTGAAACACAGCTTTTATGCTGGAATGCTGAAATGTGGATGGAAACTACAGATGTCTAAGTTTATAAGTCACAGCTGTGCTCATAAATTAACAGCCAATATTTTGAACTGTTAAGAGATTGTTTGTTGGTAAACTGTCTCTTCTGTCTTTTCCCAGTCTCTGTGAACGATGAATATCCTCCAATCAGCCTTTCCAAGTGTTGTATATATTGTGGAAGATACAGAAATCTCTTAAAACTTGTTGTTGTAATACTTTACAGTGAAACTATTTTCTGTTTTGTTCACCATTGTGTTGGTGGCAAATAGAAAAAGAAATCCACTTTACTGCCATGCCCTTGAATTGGTGCTGCCAATTTTAATGCTGTTGTAATTATTTTTCCCAAATACGCTATTTAATTTCTTTGATTCGTGCCAGGCTTAGGGGCAGGAAAGCAACTTTATAGGGGAAACAAGTCATGGCTTTGTACAGTGCTATGAAATGCACAGAGTAAACAAACGAGGGGGTTGAGGGATGGGGATAGAGTGGGAGTTTGTTTTCCTGCATCACTTCACTTTTCTTGTGCCAACAGAAGGGTTTTTAAAAGGAAAAGGAAAAAGAAAGAGGCAAATTGGATTGTTAGCAGTGTCTCTTAGGATCATAAATGAAGGGAAGATTGTGTATGTAATTCATAAACATCCTGAACTATACGCCTTCTATTTCAACTTATTGGGGCATGAAGTAGTGCCTACCAGGTTAATTTCTCACTGAGGAATTCAGCATTCATGCAGATCTTAATTTCCTCCTCTCTACAAAGCAGTGATAAAGGAAGAATAAGGGTATTTGAATATTTGAGTCCAGATAATTCAGCTTGAAAATAGGTCTTTTAGAAGAAGCTGCAAGACAATTATAGTTGCTATTTTAAAATGAATTTGGAGAGTAGCAGGAGAATGTTTATTTGTTCCTGATAGGAAATATGCTTTTTGTCATGCAAACAAAACCCTGTACTTTACAAAAATTTTCTCTTTCATAGACGAAATTACTGTTTTGAGTTCAGGATGTTGTGGGCAAAAAATAAAAAAGAAAAACCATTTGCAAATATTTTTTCTCCATTTCCCATCTGCCAAAGGAGCAATTGAATTTGTTAGTATGGAGCAATGGTCAATGCTCTGTTTTTTCATGGTTTTAATGGTTAAGATGCATTTAATGGTTTACAGGAGTTCAAAGATGGTTCCAGCTTTGTGCCTGCTTTTTGCTTCTGTGATGGGATGGCTGAGCATGACCAGAGTGAATCATCTGTTGGCTCTAAACAGGGGTGGGACCAGATTTTTATTTAAGTAAAACAAAGCCAAGCCTCAAAATTCTTATGCAGTGAATATTTAAGAGACCCAAAACCTCTTGTTCTTTTTCTAATTCCAAGTGTTGCTTTAAACTCAGTCATGGGTGCTGACTTATGTGATTTGGGAGAGTTGGATTTAACTGGTTTGGGAAGGCAGTTTGGATGGATTCCTTAAGTTCTGTTTCAGTATCAAGAAACTTGTTTTGCTTGGAGTTTTTAGAGTATTTCTCTTAAAACACCTCAGTGGTCAGCAAAGTTGAATTTCCAGGTTTTGTGTTTGGAATGATTAGGAATTGTTTATGTTAAGGAAATAATGAGGTTGAGAATAACTGGGAGTTAAAGAAGTTGGTTCTGGTGGGTGTTCAGTCAGCTATTTCCACTACTTCCACTGCAGACCAAAGCTGTGGAGTTTTATTTGTTTAGAAGGGCCAACTGTGGCTTTATATGGGCTTCTTAAACCCATGTTGCATAAGCTTACCCATTTTTTTTGTTTAAAAAAATCCAAAACCAAGCAAACACACCAAAATGCAAAATCATTACATTTGGGAATTAATGATTCCCAAAAAAGTGCCCAAATTTCAGAAACTAAGACAAACTCTAGTAATGTAGGTTCTACCCCTTTGTGGTGCATAAACCTCCTATGGAGATGCCTTGAATGTTTGTGGAGGAGTGTACTCTGTTAAGACATGATTTTGCTGTTTTTTTGGCTCTAATCCTATTTTGATGATCTGTTTTCTTTTTAGCACCAGCAAACATTTTTAAATCAGCTGAGGGAGATCACTGGTATCAATGACATCCAGGTACTACAACAGGCACTGAAGGTAAGATAAGTGACTTGAAGCTGAATGAACCTGAATGCATCTTAATTGCCTGTGAAAGCCATAAATCCAACCCTTTCTTACTCTGTCCCTCTCTTCCTTCCTTTCTCTCCCTTCCTTCCTTTTGTCCTTCCCCCCTTGAATTTATTTCAGGGGGAAAAAAAAAGCCAATGATTGCTTGTTCACTTTGCATACAATCCTGTTCTCTTTTGGTACTGACCTAAAAATTAATCAAGTGTTCAAAAATGAAAAGACAGGACTGTTATGACTTACCTTTAACCTTGTGTGAATTATTTTGGGATACTTTGGTGCTACTACAGATGATCAGCTCCTGAGGAACCAAGTGGTGTTTTCTTGTCAAGGTGTGGCTGTTTTCTACCATGCACAGGCCTTGCTCACTGTGTAGAATGAAGAACTGCTTGAACTTGCCAAACTTTGCTAAATTGGTATTGTTTCAATGTTTTTTCAACCACTGTAATTTATTTCACACCACAGAAGAATTCTTTGAGGCAAGTAAAAAATGGCAGGTCTCTCTGTATTCTGTGTCCATAAATATATAAATATTTTATTTATATAAATAAATATATATAAAAATTTAAAAAATGCTTTCTCTCCCTCAAGCAGAACTTTTTAGCTATTAATACATGGTAAATGAGGATTTAGTAATTTAAATCAAAAATATATATCTACACAAAACCAGGTAGTTGTTGTTAGCCTAAGTCATGTGCACAACTGCTTTTCAAAAGCTGGGATCTCTGTCTTTGAAAATGAAACTGTATTTTCAGAAGAATTCATCTTACTTCTGTTGAAGTCTGACTTCAGTGAATGTGCTGGTTTGTTAAGAGGTTGACCTACACTACAAGACATTTTTTTTTCCTTTCCTGAAAGAAGTGAAACACCACCAAAACAATTTTCTATAAGATGTTATATCATTATTTTGGTTAAAAATAGTGAAATATGCAGAATAGGTCACATTTGCAAACTTTCTTTTTGAGTCAGTACTTTGCCTGACAGTACAATCAATGCCTATTGATTTGAAGCTGCTAATCATGTCCTTTGCTTTCAGAAAAAATTAAAGAAAGGGTGAGAGGACTCTCACTTGTTTTTGGTTTTTTTATGCTTAAAGGACAGCAATGGTAATCTGGAGTTGGCTGTGGCTTTTCTCACTGCGAAGAATGCCAAGGTTCCCCAGCTAGAGGAGGCAACTTACTACCAAACAGCCCTTCCTGGGAATGACAGATATATCAGTGTGGGCAGCCAGGCAGACACCAGTAGGTATCTTTTCTTTTCATAAGTTCAGTTTAAAGGCATGGGAAATAAAACCTTGCCTGTGACATAACTGTTAATTTGCAGATAATTCTTACTTATCAATTTTTAGATTATTATGTGTTCTCTCTCTCCTTATTTCAGTGGGGTTTGTTTTGGTTGTTTTTAATTTTTAATTTATTTGAGCTACCTTTAGGCATTTCCTTTACCTATATGTATGATACTGATCAAAGGGTGAGTAACTGGGCTTTCCATCTTTTTTTACCTTTTTTTCCTCCCCCATATTGCAGGTTTTAATTTGGGTTCATGCAGTAAATAATTTAAGGCAAAAGCTGGGTACTCCTCTGTCAAAACAAAATTGGAGAAGAGTCTGTCATTGTTTGTTTTAATATGTTAAAGCTTAATATTGTTAAGAGTAGCTCCTCCCTGACAGGAATGACTATCCCAAAGGGAGAAATGGGAGGTTAAGTGTGAATTTTGTACTAAAAGAGTAGGTATTTTATATATTAAATTAGCATTAAATATACCCAATTTTAAACAATTTCATTTAGTTGATACAGGAGGTCCTACAACCTGCATTTCTCTAAGTCTTGCAGGTTCTAATCCTCTGCTTTAGTGTATAGTTATTTTTATGGGGAGAAAATAAATGTATTCTGCAAATAAATAAAGGAAATAACAGAAGTAAAAGTCAAAGTAAGTTTTGTTGTGGGATTGATATCTGTAAAATCTTAGTTTCTTGATTCTTTAGTTACTTTACACCATTTCCAATGCAGATGGAGAATATTTTAATTACATATCAGTTCTTTGGCCATATATCTAGTACATCTACGTAGATTTTATTAAAAAAGTAAGATTATTTAATGCCTCATGCAGTAGGATTTTTTCCTCCTTTGTTGTGCTCATGGTGCCTTCAATGTAAAGAAGTTTAGTTAGATTTCCTTATCAATTGTACAGTTATCTTTTGTCTGTAGAACCTTGACATGAACTTTTTAAACTTTTTTCTTTAATTAGAGATTAATTTATTCTCAGCATGTCCAACCTGAAAACTGCATTTAAATCCTTGGTATTATTAGCAACCCTGTATAAAGTGTCCTGAGAGCATTATAGGTAGTTGTGTTATCCATGCAGTAAGTTGTGGTGGGTGGCTTGGGGTTTTTTGTGTATTTCTTCTTTTCACTCCTTTGGAAGGAAAACACAGAACCTTCCCCATGTGTTTAATTTTCAGTGTCGGAAAATTGCCACTGAGGGAATGAAGGCTATTAAGAATCAACTCACCACTGTCATAGTTTCTAGTACTGACAACCTACTATGGCAGTGGAATAATAAGCTGGATTCTCTTGGAGTCTGTGTTTAATTAGATTTAATAGCAATCCCATTAATAGAAGTATTTAGTTTTGCTGTCACTTACTGTGCTGTACACCCTTACTGAAGAAATGAGGTGACAAGGGATGCAAGAGCCCACATTTCCCATGGCAGATGGTCAAACTGAGAAGGGTAGGTCTTGAGTTGTACATTCCAAGGTGAATTTCAGGATTCTCTTCTCTTCTCTGGAGGGCTGAAGGCAGATTCCTTACAGTTACACAGCATGACAAGTCAGTGATCAAGAAACACCAACTGCTGTGGGAAAAGTAGGTTTTGAAATTTTTTTTAAACATCTTTAATATCTGGTCAGGTCCTCACTGGCAACAAAGATGAGAGCCCTTAGCCAGTCTTTGCTGTTTTAGTTAGACTGAAAACACATTGAGATAAAGGCATCTTTGTGAACTTTTCATCATATTGGAGGACTTAGAAGGCAAGAACTGAACACTAAGCAGAACAAAAGTCAAAACCAGTGTGACCATGGAGCCCCCCCCCCGCAAGCTCCTGTAGTGATTTACTGAATGCTTCTGGAAGAAACCTTTCCTTGTAAAGTGCTTGCCTGTAATTGTTTGGATTCTAGATTTAAAAAATGCAGTGCACCAAAAAGGCCAAGTCTCAGGGCCCTGTGTTAGTAAACACTGTCATGTCAGGAGGTGTGAAAGGGCAGTGACTTGTGAGGAGGGAATGGGAGGGTGGTCACAGGATGGGAAATCTTCAGCAGATGGCTTTGACCATCACTGCTCCCTTCTTCAAAAGAGCATGTATTAGCAGTTCTCAGTGGCTATGCTGAGTTAATGACAGGATCTTGTGTCTCAAATTTGACTCCCTTTATTATCCCACATAGGTATAATTACATTAATTAATTAAAACTCACCCTTACTGTTCCTTACTGCTTAAGTACCTCTGTGTGTTTGGAACTGGGGATGTTAAGAGTCACTGAGCTTTGTGGTCCTGCCAAGTTAAAGCATCCAAACTGGGAAGGAGAGAGTCACAGATAAATACTAGAGCTGTCCTATGCCACAGAAAACCTCCAGCCATTTAGGAAGGCTGTTGAATGTATTCCTTGCATAAAGATGTATCAGATGTGAGTTTGACTGACTACATTTCTTTGATGTGGTTACTTAGTTAAAGGGGTAAAATGAAAATGCTACTGTGTACCATAACAGCCAGAATTGTGCCCTGGCTCTTTCAAAAGCAACAGTGGTCATAAATGGTTTGAGTTGCAGACAGAATGGTAGGAGGTATAAGGAGACCTGGTTTTTCTTATTATCAAATGCAACATTTCAGCAGCTGCAAAAAAATAATAGGATAATAGGTTTTCATTAAACCTGCTCCATCTGTTAAATAAAGACTGACTTGCACAACCAGTGTTACTCATGATGCTTGCCTTTTTGTCTGTTCAAAATGGCATGTGCAAGCACCTGCAAATGTAGTATTTTCACATCAACAGTGATGCAAGCTTAATCTGATCCTTTTGCAAAGGTGGTTTTAGCATTTTCTTGCCCTTCTTGCACTCTGTGAGGAGAAAGTGCTTAAGCATTAGATTTTCAATGTACAGGTGCACAATTTTTAGTCCAAGGTAATTTCAATGTTTCACTTGGTAGAGGAAATCCTAGGCATTGTACTTAAAGAAAAACAAAAGAAGTTTATTAGTACTTCCAAATATTTTCACTTTATTTATTTCTCTAGAAACCTTTTTATTCCCATTTGAAGCAATTTTGTGTATTTTCATGTGTGGCTGCACAACAGAACTGTTGGATTACTAAGAATGTATCCATTTTCTTCTTATTATTGAAGGAACTTGAAGAACCTAGGGTTAAAGGAAGGAACAGAATGAAAAGATGTATTTTGGAAGCTGCGTTGCGTTCCAATGAAATTTGAATGCAAATTTGTCCTGAAATTTGTCAGGACAAATTCTCTCCTTCCCTTCTTTTGAAAACCCAGTTATTTTTCATTAAAACTGACTTATTAGTCTTTGCAATTGCACATTCCATAGCCAAAACAAAAGATTTCAAGCCCTTTTATAAGGGCAAGTGTAACTATGAAATGCCATAGAGAGCAATTTGAGGACTGTAGACTTCATGGCTTCTGCCTTCTTATATCTTCCTGTTCATACTTTGAGCCTTTGCATATATCTCAAAAGTCACTCAGCCCTTTCCAGTCAGGTAGAGTTTAGGCTCAATGGTACCTACATCCTTCTGAAGTGATGTTTATAAAACATTTCTTACTGTTCCATTCTAGAGACTCTGAAAAGTTTATAGAGTAATTTCTTTTGGAGCTTCACTGCCCCTACCTTAGACTCCTAGTGTCTTGCCTAAATCCCTTTTGCTTCAGGTTAAGTCCTTTACTCCTTATGTGCCCCTGTGGAAATTATAGCATACTTCATTCCATTTATCTCAGATGACATGTTGCATGCTTGAAGACAGTCTATCAAAAGACTTCTCTCAGATCTAAATGAAACAGCCTAAATTCCTTTAAAGTATTTGGATGCATTTCCTATACCTATTGTCATTTTTTTTTCTTCTCATCTAGGCATTCTTTAGTATGCTTCTTTCCTGAGCTGTGGCACTCAAAATTATAATGAAGACATCAGCTTAGTTCTTCAGAAAAATAGGTGAATCTCTATAAATATCCATGTAGTACTCTGACAGAAATGTAACACTTCCTATTTTCTCCAGTTCTGGGATGATGTGAATTGCAGATTGAACATGAGTCGGCTGTAGCTCCTGGATCCTTCTTGGCACAAGTCCTAGTCAGTCCTCATTCTCTAGCTTCTAGCTGTTCATTTATTGTTTCTGTGAGTAGAATTTGACAGTGGCTGCTTCTGTCACCTTGCCTAACTCAGCCATCTCTATGTGTCTTCATGACATTTCCTTCTATTTCAAGGATTACTTGTGTCATCTCCATCCAGGTTCCTGGGAGTTTTGCCAGCTTGATATGTCAAGGTCCCCACTTCAAAATGTCAGGAGTCTTGTACCTTGAGGTCCTCTTTTCATCTTACACATTAACTTGTTGCTTTGTGTCATGATTGCCTCTCTCCTTCCCCATAGGTGTGGGAGTCTTCAGTTTAAGGTGTTAGAATTGCAGGATGTTGTAAATACAGCTGAGATGAGGAAGCTGTGGGATAGTGGTGGCCAATATTTACAAGCTCTTGCACCAGTACAGTGGTTTGAGTTGGCTGAATTGCTGCAGGGGTGCTGGGTGCTCTCCCCACATCCAATTTTAACCAAAATTGGCAAATACAGCCACATAAATTCCTTTAAATCTTCACCTTAGGAAACCATTGTGAATTTAACATCACAGAATAGGTGGCAGTATGTAGGGTCTTGCTTAGTTAGCTCTGCTTGTAATAAATAAACCAGTTGTAGTCTCAACTCCCTTTAAAAAAACTTCTATATTGTTTATGTGTTGAAATTGGAATGTTGCTGCTGAATTTTCATACTTGGCACTGCTCTATTGAACCCATCAAGGCTGCCCCTTCATTTTTTTTCTCCCTGTTCCAATTGTTGCATCACTGTGGATGTTTATTGCCTATCCCTGAGTTCAATTGCTACTTCTGATCTGTCTCTCATGCTGAGTTTCCCAGCCTACTTAAGTTTGAAGTTCCTACTCTCTGCCTCCTCCTCATATAAGTACCAAGTCAACAACACAGTAATTATTTTAATGACCTGGGCAATAAACAAGTAAGAACCATTTATTTAAATCATGATAGAAATTTCCTAAGTAAACAGATTAATAAGTTGGTTTTTAAAAAAAAAAGGTAGATCTATGGGGATAGATATAGTGTGTGCATTTATTATACATACACCAGTATTTGTCCCAAATTTCAATATACAACTTAAAATTGTTTTGTAGAATTACAGTGTCAAACTCTGTGAACCTTATGTATCAGATGGACACATTATTATATAATAATAATATTGTAAACCAAGAATACATTTCTTAGTAAAACAGATGATTAATTATGAATGTTAGTTTTCATTGAATAAACACACATGCACTAAACCAGACTGTGTTGATGAGAAGTTTCTTCACCTCAAAAAATGGAGAATTTTTTCATAAGCAAATTTTATTTACTAGTCATGGCTTGGTTAAGAATGTTTGCATTTTCTAAGGCTATTTGACATTAAAGTAATAAGTACCTTTATGAGGATGAGCCAGTGAGAACTGAAGTGTTCTGTGGGCTAAATGAGAGGAATATTACAAAGCTGGCATGTGTAAGTTAAAGTCACAGAACTAAATTTGGACAAGAGGCATTAGTTCCATACTTTTATGAAATGCATCCTTCAGCCTATCACAGAAAAGGACTTGTGTGTCTGATAAAAACTTTGAGTAAAAGTAATATTTTTTGTTTTTCTTCAAACTCATACTTAAACCAGTAATCTGTTGGTCAGATAGGAAACTTCAGCAGCTCAGTTTCATGAATCAGTTCTACTACTCATAGCTGCAACATTAGCATCCCCATGCAAGAATTTATAAAACATGAAGATATTTTAAAATAAAAATGAGAAAAAAAAGAAAATTACATTAATTTCATGTATTATATGTACATATTTGTATAATGTATAACCATGTGAAAGAAATGCAAGATGTGGAGACAAGGCAATATATATAATTTTTTTTGATTTTTAGAGCAAAGAGTTTAGTCTCAGACTTACCCTTCCTTTGTGACTTCTGTTGAAGTCTTCTTTAATATCTTATGATTTAGGATTCAAGTTGTATGTGAGGTGTTGCAGCTTAATGAGTTACTGTGTGAGCTGTAAAGACATTTAGCTTAAATGTCAAAACCATTTTTATGTTACATTTGCTCTGAACTAAAAGCTTTCATGAAATAGGTTACCATGGCTGAGCTGATATTAATAAATGTATTTTTTGACATAAATTATGCTAGGTAAGCCCCTGTGACTTAAATTGATTGTACCACTCACATGTAGTGGTAATATCTGGCAGTGTGTCTTCACTCTGTTGTCTTTTTTTCTCTCTGCAGAGCAGGAGCAATGTATGGATAGAACATTTCTAAAGAGAATCCTATAGTGTCTGCTCCAAAACCCTTGCATGCCAAAACACTTTTGTCTCATCTACTCTTGGAAAGCAAAGGGAAGTAAAAGATTTGGGGTTTTAATATTAAAATTATGTAACTTCTGGTAATATGAATGGTAATAAACTTCTAAACACATAAGGTTTATAGATTAATAAAAATTAGAGAGCTAAGAGTTGCAAAGAAGTTGAATATTTTAATGGAAGTGAGAGTTGGAGTTGATCCAGATAGATTTTTGTATAATGGGGGAGGTTTTCTTAAATACATCATTTTCACCTACATTGAGTTGTTTTCTAGAAAATAGTCCCCATATAGAGAAGCTGACTTCTTCATCTTGCTTTCTTTATTGTCATGTAAAAATGTCATCACTCTTACCTGATTAGAGACTTGCTCAAGAAACATTCCTCTTTGTAAGGAAGTGACCAGAGTAATCCCATCCTTGTCCATCAGTATGTGGGGCTGCTGGGTTGTGACCACTATTCCTACTTTGAGAAATACAGCTTGGCTCCAGGCAAGATGAGGGGCTGTGTGTGGCTCCTTGTAAATGTGCAGAAAATACAGCACAAGCACCACATTTTAGATCATAATAGGCAGTGTGTGTGTGTGTGTGGTGAGGGGATCCTCTCATTTGTCAACCTTTCTAGTCTTCTTCTGCTGTCAGGCTGTAGGACAGAGCTGGGGTTGCATGTGACCCAGGCTGAGGTGGTATTTTTGCCCAAATTATGTTATTCTCAGCGTGGCAGCATATTTATCAAAACTTCTCTGGGAGAGACTTCTGCTGGTGGTGGTTGTAATTGCTTTAGTATTTCTGAAGGAGAATTTCAGGCATCTGAGTTGAAGTACCCTTCTGTTACACTGGAAGATCTGAGCTGACTGTAAAAGACCTAAGAATAAAATTAGGAAGAGCTGCTTTTATAGCAACAGTGTTTTTCTATACTTCTAGGTCAGGACAGATTGCCCAGTATACTCTGCAGGTAAGAGTGCTCCCTTTTAAAGGCCCACTAAATAAAATAGAAGTTCAACCATTATTTGGAGAAAACAGGGCTCAGTTTAAAACTTAAGTTTTGAAGATGCTGGTGTTAACAAGAAAGTTTCTTTACAAATTCTTTCTGGTTTCAGCTTTTTACAACGACACGTCATCCCATTTTCTGTTTGTGTGTGACTGTGGCAATGATTTTTGTATACTGAATTTAGTGTTTTGTTCTGATCCAGTGAGAAGCATCCCATAAAAGAAAGCCCAGAGGAATAGGGGAAGCTACAGTCTCTACAGTGGGTTGGCCCATGCAGCAGAAAAGTCAGAACATAGACAGACAAGGGTTTTTGAGTAATTGGGTTTGCCTGTGGAAGCAGAAATGCTGACAAACCTCTTGTCTCTCTTTGTGAGCAGTTTCCAGTTTCAATTCTGTATCTCTTTCTCCCAGAGCCTTTCAGCTTCTAATGGCCAAACCCCAGGCTGGAGACAACTCCCTTTCATAACTCTTTGGGTAAACTTGGCCTTGGAAGAGGGAGGCTCAAGCCAGCCAGTGCTCCCAGTCCGTGTGCAAATCTGATATTGCACACAAGTTCTCTTTTGTGCTATTCCTTTCTTTCTGTCTGACTTGGAAAAAGAGACTTCTGACCCTTGAAATGGTGATAACCAGTGACCTTGGCTTTTTTGAAGGTCTTGTGCAGCTGATGGACATTCCTGTAGGCTCTTAGCTGCTCTAAAAGCTCGGCTGTGCCTGATAGGGACGTGATTTGTGTTGTGGTGTGTAGTAGGATCCCACCTGAATTAGGAGAAGGGTGTTGTTGTTGCTCTCAGGAAGTAAGGAGGTTTATGGGGGATGTCAGTCTTTGATCCTTTGTATAGTAAGAGCTGGTGAAGAAGGCAGAAGTAGAGCTGTTTTCAGTCAGTAGTCCATCCAAAATTCCCCATTTATCCAAGTACGGATCCTCATTGTCTCTCCAGTATTTGTTTTTTTCATGCTGAGATGCGATACTTTCAGGAGATGAAATAAAATTTAAATATGTTCAGAAAAGGAATGCACAAACAGGATAGAAAATAATTAGGTTGAGTAAGGAACTGTTCCATTTGTTATGAAACTGTGTGAAAGTATTTGGCTTACCAGGGTACAGAATACTTGTAGAACTTGGGGCTGTGTTGGGAAAACATTGTTACATGTTCCTTCATGAGGAGGAAAAATCAACTATGCTCAATTAAGGTATCCTTTTTAAGTAAGGTTCTTCATCATGTGTTACTTGAAGCAACTGATCTCAGTAGCTGAAGTAATGCATTTAAGTGTATTGCTTTAAGAGGGCTTTCAGAAAACATGTATTCCTAAATTTGTCCCATAACTTTGTGAAAGTTAAGAACATTAGGAGCAAGGAGAACCACAGCCCATGATGTCAAGAGTGAGCTGCTGAGGTTTTTATCTGGCTTGGAGGCAGAAGGGAGCTGTTAGCAGGGTTTGTGGTTGCAAGAGCATAGGGCACAGGAGGGATGGACTGGAATGGTACTCAGCAATCCACGTGGGCTCTCTCCTCTACAGTAAGACTTACCTTTCATTCTGTTTCACTTTTAATTTTGAGAAAGATAGTTTTGCTTTTCAGATGTGATTGATCTCACTGGAGATGATAAAGATGATCTTCAGAGGGCAATTGCCTTGAGTTTGGAGGAATCAAACAGGGCATTCAGGGAGACTGGAATTACAGATGAGGAACAAGCCATTAGCAGGTAAACAACCAACTTATATAAAGCAGAAATTAAATTAAAGAGTTGGAGATTGGCCTGTATTGCTTTTTTAAACTTTTAACAAATAATAACTTGTTTACTTTTACTTGTGCTACTGATATGCCTGGCTTCAGGATGCTGCTTTAATGTATTGTATCTTCTACACTGGAAAATAGTCTATTATGTGTGGACTAAGATTTAATAAAATGTTTCATATTTTTGTATTTCTTTAAATATGGAGGAAGTGGATGGAGATAGAGAATGTGTGGTCATATTTAAATAGGAACAAAACCCAGAAGTTTCTCTTGTGTATCAGGTAAAAAGCAACAAAACCAAAATATAAATTAAGAAGCAAATAAATACTTTGTCCTGTTTTTTGCAGTGGTCATTTTACAATAACATTTTCTTCCCTCTTTGCTAGGGATGAGATTGAGGGAGTGGGTATTAATATTGTGACTTGAGGACACTAAGAGCAGCAGCTCTATTTTAGCAGATGAAGAATGTTATTAACCTATTTAACACGTAAGATTTATAGGCTTTGAGTGAAGTTCTGGATTTCAAGCTTTATAAACATAACTGTCTCAGTTTGGGTGTGATAAGAGTCTTTGAGCTAACTTTTGGTCAGATTTTATGATAACTTTTTGTACAGTGTATGTTTTTGGTATGTTGATACAATTATGAAATATTTGGGACTTGAACTAAGCCTGGGTGTAGGGTTGTGTGGGAGGGATGTTGTTTCTTTTTTTTCATCTGTCACTGGCCTTGGGAGGAATGTTGAGTTTTCAATTTGTGGCTGGCCTTGTTCTGAAACAGGCAATGATTTGATCCTTGATAGGAGGTAAAGTACTACCTCCTCATAAAAGACCAATTTTATAAAAAAATAATTTAGATGGGGAGATTAACCATGATAATTCTTTTTTTCAGTTCATTGTGTTTGACAGGCTAAATGACTTATTAGAAAATTCCATCTCTGAAAATATAGATATTTTATTGCTTTATTTGTATTACTTTATCAAGTAATTTTCTTTTCCCTTTTGAAAAATAAATACACTAATTGTGAGAATAAACATACTCCTCTGCCTCCCCATTTGTGATAAAAGTCATCTTGTTTTAAGAATTTGAGATAGCATATTTTAGGAGGGAAGGGTGGGATGAAAGGGGTTTATATTCTCATTAACAACTGGAAGAAGGATTTAAGGGGTTGTTTTTTTCTAAAGCCTCAGTATGTGCATGTATGCAAGAGGATGGTGGAAGTTCTGTCCAGTTTTTTTTCAGAAGGTCAGCTCTTGCGTGTTCCTTTTTGAAAGGCAGAATTGCTGTAATTACAGAGTTGTGATTTAAGCAGGCACTTAGAGAGATGGACCTATTTCTGGAGATGGAAAATTTTCTTCCTCTTTTTCTTTACCCAAGCCTTGTCTGCTTCTGCTGTGCTCAATTATTGGGAGCCTTGAAGATTTAGGATTTTTGTTGTAGACTTTGTTTTTTACTTTTGAAACTAAACCCCCCCCATTTGGTCCTACCTTAGCCCATAGTATTATTGGTATTATAAATACTTAGTATTTAAGTATTATAAATACTTTTTACTTAAATTACAGTGTATATCTTTCTGACTGCAGAAAATAACAAAGGATGCCTTTTTTCTACAAAGACATCTAGACAATCTGGTCAATCTGGTTATTTGTTGAGAAGATGTTGGTCTTATGAAGTAGAGACTCGCATCTAATGGCAAAATTGCTCAGAGTAACATGTGCAATGTCAAACGAAGAGCTTGTTGCAGGTCATATCCTCCTTGGTGCACTGCACCACATTTTCTATGCTTGCTGGAGGGTTCTTTGGATCATTTGTTGCACAAATTCATTTCACAAGCCATGTAAAAATAGTCACTGGAGGATCCATAGTATTTCATGACACAAGGAAGGGAATGGGACTTTGCTTGTGAATGGAGGCAGAGAAGAATGAGGATCTTGAAGGTTTTGGCAGCATTGAGACATTAGATCAACTCAGTAATTTAGCAAGAAGCACCCTGAGCTGATGACAGATTATGTCAGTGTTGAACAAATATAGGAAATTCAGAGTTGTTGAATTCTTAAATTCTTAATCTGAACTGTTTAATCAGTTTCCTTAAGGACAGAATTTAGACTGGTTTTATTACAAAAAGACAAAAGAAAAAAAACAGCCCACTTTGTAGTTAACACCCCACAGAAGAATGTTGGCATTCCAACAGAAAGTGCATGATCTGTGGAGAGCTTTGCAAAACAAAAAATGGAACACTGTGGTTGTAAACAAGTCAAGCTACAGCCATTTACTTTTGATTTTCTAGATAAAAGAAGAAGCAAAAATCCAATAGGAGGTCAATAATAAGCAAATTTAAACTGTGGAAATGGTTCATTAAAAAAAATGTAGGCCATGTGCATATTTAAGTAGTTTTTGCTGTGATGGATATTTTTTTCAAAGGTATTCATAGCGGTTTGGAACCTAATTTGTGAAGATTTTGTTAGGGTTTCCAAGGGAGAATTAATGGAATTTCTTGACTTGTGTAATTAATGTTGTAATGCACGTAGAATTTGTCTTCCTGAATGTGATTTCTTTAAACTGCCTGATGAGGACAGATGTGATTACTGTGTAGGTGTTGAGAGAGTGCATCTGAAATGTCCGAGTGTCCGAGCTGAACATCTTGTACGTGGCACGTTTAAAAGCTTTTCCTGTTTCCTCTTTAAGTCTCCTAGAGAAATGTGCTTGATCAGTGTGTTTCCTGTTGTGAAGAAGTTTCTCCTTTTATATTACTTTTTGTGGATTGAAGTCTGAAGCTGGTGAAAGAGGGCTTCACTAGGGAAGCCACTGAGATATTACTGGAAGGAGAAATCAGCTGTGGCTGTGGTACTGCCCCTATAAAAATGAGTCCATGCTATCAGTCCATGAAGGATGTGCACAGCAAAGGAAGTGCACAGCCCCTGAGCTTTTTTTTTTAATCAGGGTCATCAAAACTGCTTGGGACTCTACACTGTGGTTAGGCATTGTGTGTGTAGATCCAAGGTGGAGTTTTAGAATGTTGTAGAGTCAGGGATATATTCCTGCATGTCCAGCTGTAAGACAGTCACAGTACAAGTACCTTCCTATGCTCTTTAGCTGAGTAAGCTGACAGAGTGGGCTTTTCTGCAGCACGTTGAGTGGGCTTCCTTAGAGCGTGGTTTGACAGAATCTTCGTGCCGTGCACTTGCCTTGCTGTGGGGTTTTTGCTTTGTCTCGTGAACCCCCTGCAGTTCTGCAAAGATGCTTGGCTGTGCCCAGCTTGTTACAGAGAAATAAAACACTGCTTTCAAGCCTCATGCCAAGCCTGGCAGTAATTAACCCTGGCTACAGTGTTTCCCTCCAAACAGGATTCCAGCCCTTGGAGGCGTGGAAGCTGTAGGTCCTGTGAGTTGGGGCTTTGTCAAACTGCAAACAGCTGGCTGATGGCTCTGTGCTGGAGACTGTGCTGTTGTCCCCAAGGGTCAAAAAGTGGGGCTTCAGCTCTGTCAACAAAATTGCTAAATCTTTATCATAACTCTCTGGAAGGATGCTTGTTTTGTCAAGCAGTGTAAGATTCTTGATCCAGGCCATGTCCCAAACTTGTGACACTATGAATGTAAGACAGTGAGCATTTTATATGAGATATCCTCACTGTGCTAGTAAATACATTTATTTATGTAGCATTCTAGCTGATCATCAAGTTCCTATTTGCTGTGCTTACTGCACTTTATTTCACTTTTCATTTTTGATTTAACTGCATCATGACTATCATTATGTTGGAAAATTAATTCAGCAGAGAGAATGTGCAGTATTGCTTGTGCTCTCTGAGAATGTGCAAATGGCATATCCCTGAGGACAGATAATGTTATAAGTAGAATTAAGGAAAAAATACCATGATGCCTTCAGAAACAAATACTTTATTAATACATGGAAACATGTCTTAGGTCGAGCTAGAAGGGAGTCAATCCCTTACCTGCTAAAGAAACACAAATTCAAATACAAAGAAGTTTTAGTGAGTAATTAAGCTGATGAATGGTAATACTCACGGGGTCAGGGAACTGTTTCAGTTTGAGAGTATTTATTTTTCTGAACTTGAATCTTGAAATATCTTGAAATATTTTTGAACTTCTGGGGAGAACAAAAAGAGAAGTTTGGTTTTTTTTTACCTGAAACACAAGTGGTGTGAAGTAGTTACAACATCATTTAAATTTATTCCAGTCTGTCAATCTTCCTGTCAGTTTTAAAGGTCCCTTCAATTTAGTTTAAACAAGATTTTAAGCAATTCTACCTGCATGACAAATTCTCTGAACTATGTATGACATTAAAAAAATGTCCCCATTGACCAACACTTGCTCTCAAACCAGAGATACGTAGGTCATCCAATAATTTTGAAGGACTGTATTAGTGAAAAGGGAAATGAATTTGACTGTTTCTTTACATTTTGTGGTTTTCTTACTAGAAAAAGCTATCAGAAAAGTCTCTTGGAGCAATCAGGGTCAGGTTCCATCCCTATACGGTGTTTGAAGAGATGTCAGAATAGAAACTCTTAGTGGGTTATATGCTTGCCCTTTCAGTGCTCTTTACAGGGTGGTGTAAAAAATAAATTGATTAATCCTTAGGAATTTACCAGATTTAGGTTCTTTCTGAGACAGGTACAAAAGTGGTATTTGTATCAAATGGTCTCTCAAATTTAGAATGCCTTTTTTACTGTATTTTTTCTGAAATAAGTATCAATGACAAATAAGTATGTTCCCCAGAACAGTTATCTTCAGTAAATTCATATGATGCTTCATAGTTCTTGGTAAGATAGCTTTTCTTTCTTTGATAGGAGCATAGCTTGAAATAAAGATGTAGGTAGGAAATTGAGAGATTATGAGGAGGGGGGTTGTCTGTTTCTGTGTTTTTTTCTGAGAAGTTCGAACTTTATCCTTGAGGATCTCCATTTACAGACCAACCTAAAGCTGCCTTTCTTTGGTGCTGGTGACTCTAGAACTGAGAGGGGGCAGCTCTTCATGCTGCTCAGACTGCTTAATGCTTGTGAAGCAGCCTGTGAAATCCTGTGCTTGGTGTTGGAGAGGAGCTCAGCCTTTTGTCTGAGAGTTGGACTGGATGGCTGGAAACAGTGACTACTGTGTCAGTAGTGCGAAGCCAGACTCTTGGCTTATGAGTTAGAGCCACTGTTACATGACCTCAGTGCATCCATCTCCATCTTTCTATTTAGAGTACACCTAAGACAAATTACTTTTAAGGTGTATTTTGTCACCAGGCTAAGCCACCTGTTGATACAGAAATAATGTATCAAATGAGGCTTGAGTTGGAGATCTTCACACCCATCAGATCCTGTTGTCATGTGAAATATGGATAATCAGCATAAATCACACAGGAACAGTTTCCAGCAAAGAAAGTGGTCATTGAAGCATACAATTAAAATGTTGGGTGGCATTTGAAAAATTGCAGGGAGATGTCTTTCCATGGCTCATAAAGTAATTACTTGCCATGTAAAGTGATTAACACAGTTGCCTAAGTTGCAAAAAGGAAAACTAAGAAAACTGCCTTCCTTTTTGAAAGCTGACTTGCTAGCTTTGGCTTCCTGTCAGTAAACAAAAGATTGGTGACTTTGTGCTTCACATAGCAATAAAAGCATTTGAGGATGAAAGCACTGTACTATTAGTGCTGCCTAAAATTTTTCCATCTTGTTTGAATCTAGTTCTTAAATAATTGATGACTTGTAGACATGGCTCTTGTATCTAGAGCTCTTACAAGAGATTCATGCACTCACCAATACCATTTTCCAAAAGGTAACAGAATTGTTGTAGCATAGCTAGAAGTAAAATAGATTTTTGGATGCATGTTATATCATATAATATATATTGCATATAATATTGCATATATTGCTCAGCAACAATAAGTGAATGATGTCATTATGATGTCCATATTGCTACCTGAATGTATTTTACTTGTATTTGGTGGGGGGTTTTTTGTTTTGTTTTTCTGGGGTCTTTGTTTTTTTCTCACATTTTTCCCTCCCTTCTGTTCTCAAAGAGTTCTAGAAGCCAGTATTGCAGAAAATAAAGCAAGTTTAAAGAGGACGCATCCAGAGGTATGGAGTGACTCTCCAAACCCTTATGATCGGAAGCGGCAAGACAACTGCCCTGTAGGATTAAAGAATGTTGGCAACACGTGCTGGTTTAGTGCTGTCATTCAGGTAAGCACTCTTCAATCAGCTGTGGGCATTCTTCATTGTATCTGTTGGGAGGTGAGTCAGCTCATTTTAAGTGAGTAATTTAAAATAATCTCTTTTCTTGGAAAGTTTAGGCCACTGCATGAGATGTTTTTTGCACATTATTTATTGCATCTCTTAATGTGTCTATCCCTAAGTCAGATTGAAGTGTAGAAGGTGCTGATAGCATATATAAGTGAGCTTCAAAATGTTTCTTATTAAGAAGTTGTTGAAGACAAGGAGTTGACTCTCTGCAGATCCTGGGTGTAGGCAGCTCATGCTGTCATCAGTGACAGTTGTGTCTGCTACAGATCACCCTCCTCAGGATGAGGATGTGCACACAGCCTCCTGAAAGGCAAGGAAGTCTCTGCATTACAGTCTGTGGTTCCCATGGGAAACTTCAGTAAACATCCTGACCCTTGCTGGCTTCAACACAGCAGGACACAAGCAAACTAGATTTCTGAAGGGCCTGAGGAACAGCTTCCTGGTATGAGCACTGGTATGAGCACTGCTGTTCCCCAGAAATGGAAGAACTGCAGGTGGAGTAATCTGGGTACTCTTGACTGCAGCAACCACGAATAATGGAGTTTAAGATGCTGCTGGGCGTGAGAAAAGAATAACAGGACCCAGACCCAGTTCAGGAGAACAGACTTTGTTTTCTTCTAGAGTTGGTGTCTGGGGTTCCATAGGTGGAAGTGCAGAGATGCTTAGGAAAGCTAAGAGCATTCCCTGATTGCCAGAAGAGTCTGTTCTGCTCTCAGGGAGCTCATAGCCAAGCTTCACTGCCAAGCAGGCAGTGTGCAGGATCTGGAAGCAGAGATGGGCTGCTGAGCAGACTGGAGATGTTGTGCAGACATGAAGGAATGGTATTAGTAAAGTGAAAGCTGACCTGAGTTGATGCCTAAAAGGTTGTCTAGGGTAACAAGAAAAGGTTTTGATGTTATACTGGGTGTAAAGGGCTGAGTGAGGAGAATATGGCTGAATAGAGCAGGTGAGGTACTCAGTGCCTTGCTTTGCCTCAGTCTTTATCAGTGAGATCTATCTCTAAGACCTCAGACCTGTACATAGTTGAGGGAATTCTGAACAAGGATTTGAGTGTGCAAATTTGACCCATACAAGTCCACAGGACCCACTGAGCTGCATCCAGTGGTGATGAGAGACAGTGGGAAGAAGTCTTAGCAAGGCAGCTCTCTCTGATTTTTATGAAGTCATGGAGAATACAAGAGGTTTCTGATGTACTTGAGCCAGGCTTTTTAGAGCAGTGCATGCTGTGAGGATGAGAAGCAATAGGAGTCATTGAGATAAGGAAGATTCAGCCTGGATATAAATAAGCATTTTTCCTATAAAGACAGGCAGGCAGTGGAGGTTGCCCGGAGAAGCTGTGCAGGGCTTGTCAAACCTTGGAAAGTTTTTAGATGCCTGAAAAAAAGCCCTGAGTAGCGTGGTCTGATCTCACAGGTCAATAATGTGAATAATGCTAGTTAGTTTAGTGCCCATCATCTACAAATTCCTGAGTTGCTTTCCACCAGGTACCTCACTGTACACATAGCAGTTTTGAAAATAGCTTTCTTTTTACATAGGTACTCAATCTCATATGATGTTTCTGTCTGTTCATACTTGCCAACTCACGTTTCTACTACACTGTAAATCTCTTTACTGAGCAAACATGGTCAAAACTTGCTGTCCTTTTTCAATCACTTCTGAATTTTACTTACCAGTGCAGAGTTGGTGAATTTACAGTAACCTCCCTTCAGGCTGGAACAGATGGTTGGCTCTTTTTCCTTTCTTAGTTTTTGATTGCTTCTTTGTTTGTACCTGGACTTTCCATCTCACCTCACTGGTGCTTAGTTAAAAGCTTTTGTTAAATGAATTCTTCCAAAGTTGCCCTGAAATCCCAGTAGACTGCATAAATTGGATTACTGCTATACATGTTCTGCCTGACTTGGAGGTTTTTTGGTTTTGTTTGAAGTGGGTCATTTTGTGTGTTGGTTTGGTTTTGATTTTTGTTTTTTTTTTTTAATGGGAAGGATTTACTTACCTGCAGATTCTGTTTAGCTAATGCTGTAGATCATGAAATTGAAAGGTTTCTTTAATTGTTCTATGACCCTCTCAACTTCGCACTGAAGTTTTTATGTTATTGGGCCTTTTTTTTTTTCAGCATTTAGGAATCTAGCAGTATTTGAATTTTCAGTGTTCCTGGATATCTTTTGATGTTTCCCTTGTTCCTCTCTCCTCCTTTCCTTATTCCATCGCATGCATAGCTCTTTTTGCAATAGCAGAAACATTGTCCTAACAGAAGCAAATATTTCCATTAAGATCTTTATGGGGATAATGTGACTTGGTGTTTTACCTTCTCTGTTGTGTAATCAGATTTTATATTCCTAGCAGCCCAAAATCTAAAGCACTGATTTTATGTGCATGTGCATTTCTGTTTAAGAAATTTTTTATATAGGAAACTGAAAATCTTTAGATAAATGTTTTTATGGAAACTTGGATTTTTAATTTCTTAATCACAGAGAAAAGAGCAGAGGGCAGAGAATGTAAAAACCTATGCTAGACCTATGATCTCATGTTATTTATACCCAGTGTGCAACTTTATACCTTGAAAACAGATTAGAAAGAGACCTAGCTAGTTCTTATGGTCACCAGCCATACCATGTGAAAATCTGTGGTGTCTGGAATTATAATGGCTTGATCCTAAAAGATAGTGAAACTTCTGGAGTTAGGTCTATGGAATGTAATTTAAGCAAACCAGTGAAAGATTTATAGCTTCAGTTGGTTGAAAATTTAGGTTATTAATATTATCTGTCAGCCAGGAAGATTTATGTTTCAAGCAACCATCCCAGGAAATTTAATGCATGTTAATTTAGAACATTAGCTAATACCATACTTATGTATCCACAGGGCAGATTGACTACTTGGGTTGCATTGACTATGTAGAAGTAGTTTTTTGCTTTCTTTGGGAGGCTTTTGTAACCTGACACATCACATAGGTCAACAATATCTAAATGTTAACTACTGTCAGTCACAATGATATATTGTGTAATATAATCTAAAACTAAATTGCAAAGAAAGAAAAAAGTCATCTTTCTATTTAAGGCGTACTTGTTAAGGAAAAAAGAGATTTTGACATTTTGATGCTTTCCTTTTGCAATGTATGTTTTATAGGCACCAATTAACTGACTAAGTGAAATGCAGTCATAAATGGTTTGTGTATTTGCATTAAGAGTGTGAAATTCCTGAAGAGACGTTCATGGTGCATGACAGCAAGGTTTAACAAGATTCAAACCTCATTTGAAATGTTGCCTTTACCCTGTATTTATTTGTGCTGTAGAGAAATAGGCACAAGTGGAAGGCATCCTCTTCTGCACAGGAAGAGGGGAGTCTCTCTTCAGAGAGCTGCAAAACAAAATTTTGCTTTCCACAGTTACATTCAGCAGCATTAGTGACCAGTAATGTTTTCCCACAGTGTAACTTCTAAAAATCTGCCTTGCTGTTAAGGACTTCTGACTTGATAATAACATTAATTTAAAACTGAGTCCCCAAGACAGTATTTCAGAACAAAACTGTATTAAATCATGTCATCTGCCAAGAAATGAATCAAGTTCCTCAACCTTTTTTCTACCTCTTCTTGAACTTTTAATAAACCTACATTTGGGACAGGAGTTCACCCATGCATGATTTTGCTACTGTTTAGTTAGAGGAACATTTATAAAAGGACCCATAAATCTTGAGGCTTTAGACTATTTCTCTATTGGTTGTGCATTGGTTTTTTATTTCTTAATTTTTAAAAATTCTCATTATTGTGACTACATATGTCTGCTCTTGAATTAGAATTTAAGACATCAAGTTCTTTAAAGAAACAAAACACAAATACACCACTGTATGTTTTTACTTTTCTGCAGTAGATTTTAGTGGCCCCTTTGTGAAAAGGTAACGTCACAGTTTTTCTTGGCTGTAAGAGTTTACAGCCTGAAAATGGCTTAGAAATAATAAATTTATGGAGCTTGTGGAGTGGTTCCTTCACCCCATGCTGAGCAGAAGTTAAGAGTTTTCAGGACATGGGATGCAGAAAGCAAGTAAGGACAGCACATGGATATGTTGTTGGAATCATCTCTTAGGTTTGCTGCCTGTGTGAGTTCACCCCCAGATGTTTTGGTTTAAGACACTGCACCAAACAAACTTTATCTTTTGGAGTCCCAAGTGGAGCTCTGGTCATGTACAAGAAGTAATGTCCAGGCAGGATCTGCCCTGTGGAAAAGGTGCCATGAGAAATGCCCAGATGGTTCAGAGGATGTCACAGTGTGCCAAGGTACATTTCTGTGGGAGAAGCAAAGTGTGTGGGGAAATCAGTGAAAACTGTACTGTGAATGCTGCTGTTTCCTCTTTCTCCAGTGCCATTCCTCATGTACCATGTGCACTCTCTCCCCCAGTCTCATGACTTCCAGAGGGCCAGGTTGCAGCTTCTCCCTTTACCAAATGAGGTATCCCAACAGGACAGCTGGGGCTTGGCATCCCCACACACTTTTCCCTGTGTCTGTCAGAGTAGGATGAGATTTTTTTTCCCCCCAAAAGTGCATAGCTTGCTGAATGAAGTTAGTAAGCATAAATCTCCTAGGGTGCTCTTTAACTTTTATTTTCAGGGTCCCTAACACCACTTCTGGCATTTTACTCTGTTGCATTGTGTTTAGGAGCAGGCTTCTTGTTTCCCTGATGTCAGTGTATTTGGGATTAGGATCTCCTTTGATTTTAGTTCTGGGAAGAAATGAACCAACTTGATGGATGAGAATCAAGCAAGTATTTTCTTCCCAGTTGGTAGCTCAGCTACTTGCCAATATTGTTCTTCTTTAAAGCAGCCTACCACAAGTATCTAACTTTTACATTATTTTATGTTTCTTATTTGTCATGATGGATGGAAAGGATTGTGGTGGATGATGTGGTAATGCATTCATACAAAAAGCCTAGCATAATATTATTAAATGTGC